TTTAGTTATTATTTTGGGACGGCACTGAATTGCCATGCAACACGCTGCATCACCTCTTTTACTTAAACTATTTATCTCTTTCTCGTGTTCTGATATAATATCGTATGAATCATCGACTCCGTCAACTTGTGGAAAATTCACGAGTGTGACATCTCCGTAATTTTCCTCGGTAACGTTTGAATCATCCGCAGATTCGGCATTCCGCTTATCATCCACAACTTTTGCCGCACTGTCACGTTGACTGGGCCTCTGATTGTACGTTGATTCCCAAGAGCTCAGGTCTAGATCTAAACTTGTGATATTTAAATCCTCAATCTCTTCTTCTTCCTCCTCTGGATCATTCTTAGCCGGTTCGCTGTACGTAGAATATTGAGATCCGAGAACGCTGTCGTCGTCTACATTGCTCGCGATATCATTTCCTTCCGCCAAGTCGGCCAGCATCTCTACCAGTTGTATATCATCTGCATCCACTGCACACGAAACAGAGATATTTTAATAAAGAGGAATAATATACTAATTGTGAATAATGCACTAGTGAATGAAATACTTACAAATACTACTATCCGTTGCATTACTTTGACTTCGAGCTGCTTCGAAAAACGCTGACGAGGCTGAGAGCAACAGTTTATAATTTTCAGAAACTGTTCTTTCAAGACTTTCCTCAGGCACGAGAGATTCACTGTGATCTACAATATAGGATGCATTTAAGACATCTTCATTATCTTCCACTTCAACAGGATACGAAGATCCCGTCGCGTTCGAAGTAATTGTCTCGTTGGTCTAAAATAAGAAAATTAAACAGGAAAAAATTAAGGATAATTTTGTTTAATCTTAAATATTAGGATCAAATTAAATCACTCTGCAATATATTAATTATAACAATGAAATACTTGTGATATAGCGTTCAGCCTCTTCAATAATTGATCCTTTTGATAAATATCATTGCTCGTTGGCGATAAAGCATCTTTGCTGGGTGTCTTGGAATATAATAATTGCGACTTTACGCTTTCCAGACCAACTTCGGCCCTCCTTGCTTTCTCTTCGTCCCAGATCGCGGCAAGACCAGGATTCAGCTCCAATTTCTCGTCGACACCTTGTCTGTTCAGAATCTCCGAGGCGTGCACGTCCACTTCCAACTCGCACATGCTTTGCCTTGTTATAGACGTTGGCAGGTACACTGGCGAGTCTGAAAAATTCATTGAAGACCTGCTCTGGCTGTCGTCTGTCGCACATCCTTGCAATGAATGTCTGTGTTTTACGCTATTTAAATTGATTAAATTCATGCCGTAGAGATTATAATCCATCATAAATTGCAGAATATATGGAATGTGTGCCTCGAACGGCTGCAGAGTTTGATTGAGAATAGCACCATTCTGAAAAGAACAAAATAAATTTCATTTCATTGCTCGATGTATTTCCTTAAAATGGCACGATTATACATCGTGTGCAAAAAAAAAACACAGAATTATTTACCTGCAGCAACTCCGCCGTCCTCTTAATTATGGCTGGATTATAAAAATATATTTTGAAGAACAAGTGTTCTTTCTCGTGATAACCGTAGAAAGGTCTGCAAAGCAATATACACATTTGATTACGCATGTAATAAATAAAATTTATGATACAAGAAGATAAGTATCTTTCTTCTATTAAAAATGAGAGATTACTTAATCCTTCGCAATTTAAATTTTCCTTACATTCCCGATACCCGTTGGATCTTGTACACATGTTGGTTGGTAGACAAAGTGGCGCCGAAAGATGTATTCAGCGCAGAATCAATCGCCGCAGCCAGCTGATAAGCGTAGCTATCCGTATTCTCCTGAATAGTGCATGGGACGTACATGTACGGAAAGACACCGTGAATGTGCAGGCATGTCTTCTTGCCTGGAAAAACCCTCAAACTTTATATCTTTGTATGTACAGCAAAGTTTTTTTTTACAACTTGCTTCTTAATATAATTTAGCATAATTTAGCAATTGTATTAAGAAGCATGACAATGAGGTTACTTTATCTGTTACTTTTATTCATTTACCTGTGGCAGTTGATCCGAACGCTCTGATTACCGGTACCTTTTTCACCTCGGAGCCACGGAACTCTGAGAACGTCACGTCCAGCTCGGGTACCGGGGATGCCTGATAACTATCGATATTTACCAAAGTGATGGAAAACATGTTCTGCAATAAGAATGATACGTATAACGATTAAATTGTAAATAGCCATACACGATTTAAAATAGAACAGCGTAAATAGTATAAAGCCGGCAAAAAGTATAATTAATTTGCGTACGAGATGCAGGAGAACAGATCCTCGTGAGAAACACACGTGCGAAACACTGGTTCGAACGATGTAAACAAACAGTGGTGGCCGGCGCCGGCGGGGGACATGAATAGGTTAGTTCGTTTCGCCTGCACTTTCTGCATTTAAAGCGAGATAAGGATATGTTTAGACCTGTGCGAAAAGAGGACAGTATAGGAAGTGCAAGTGTAATTGAATCCGAAATCGAAATCAAGCAACCACTTGTTGTTTTATCATGTTTTGATTTTTGTTGATATTTAAAAAAAAAAATATTATAAATATGAATAAAAATTATTAGAAATATGTATAAAAATTTGTAGAATTATTATAGTAATATATGTATAAAAAATAAGAGTTAAAGCTTTTTTTAAATACACAAACTATGTACATGAAATTAAATAAATTTTTTTATATAAATTATATAATATATAATAGTTTTCTGATCAATTTGTCTTTTTTTATATTTATGAATTTTTATAGTTTTTTTCCCCCGTGGGACATAGTGTGTAAATAAAATAATTTATTTGATGAATTGGAAAAAGTTCATATAATTAAAAAATATATTTAGAAAGGTAATTACAATTTATTAAAAGAAGATACCGGTATTTCACTTTATACAAGAGAGAACGGACATTACAATAGCGATCGAGTCAATGTTCGGCCTGACAGCCCTCCAAGCTTAAAGCTCGCGCTAGATTTCGTGCGACGCCTATTCGGAAGATGGAAACCTTGTCTTGAAATTTCGGATCGTCGCCGTGAGCCTCGACGCAGCGTAGCAACTCGTAGCAGTCGTTTGAGGAAAAGATCACGTCCTCCGCTTCCAACAGCGGTATAGCGTCCGTGAGCAGAATGGACCAGAAACTGAGAGAGAGAAGAAAGACCAAATTTACGTCGCAAGTTGCGTTAATCGTTAAATGTCCTTAGAACAAACAACAACTTACTACTTTGGCGTCAAATTCGAGACTAGAAGGGACACCAGTAGACTCGCCGCTTCGCGAAACTCGCCCATTCCGTACATATGGTGAAACTCGCAATACTTTCCTATGGTGCAAAATTTTATATTAATTACTGCAATTACACACACGATAAATTATGATTTTATACGATTGCAAACAATTACATCGTTATATGTTATAGAAATGACCGTTATTTATTCTCGTCGACTATCGTACACAATTCTTTACCTAAAAACGTGAGCCTGTCGCTGGCCAGCATGCAGGAGCCCAGGTTCTCCAGCAAGTCGCGACACTCCAATTCCCCGTACTGCGCGTAATGCTTCAAGAATTGGTCCGCGATGTACGTGGTAAAGTTGCCGTCGTGCGCCTTGAGCGCCCACGTGAGAGCGTTGCCCAGTCTGCCTTGTCTTATGCTCCTCATCCCTTGGATCTTGCATATGCTAGTAACTGAGAATTTTTTTTTTTAATTAATTATTGTAAATCTTGTTCGAGCCGAGAGAGAGAGAGAGAGATGTAGAATAAGATCGAATTTTTTTTTACCAACGTGCGGCATATTGTTGTCCCGCGCGACGTCGATGATCTTGTTAATCCTCGCCTCCGTGCCTGTGGGTAGCGACTGCAACAGAATCTCCAGTCTGGCCAAGCCCTGCGTGGGGCAATGCATCAGGTAGCTCGCGCCGCACTGCCACAACGAGCGATGGCTCATCAGCGTGGTGCCGTACTCCAATACGAGAGATTCGTGAAGCTGCGCGGTCACGCTGTAACAAGATATAATTTCAGTTTCGTTCACGATTCACAATCGTTTCGTTTCTCGTTTCCCGCATTTTTCACACCCACTTGGTCTTCTCCTTGCTGAGAATGTTCAATTTTCCGCATTTGTACAACAGATCCATCAGGTGGGCGGCGAACCAGCCGTTGTCGCTCATATACTGTATCTCTTTGACAACTTGATACAAATCGTTCTCCATCAGAGCGAGGATCACACGGTCCAAGTGCCTGTTGGCTTGCCATCTCTCGGCAATGCTGTTTGCGTAGCGCGAAAGCTCCATCTGCTTGCAGCAGGGAACTGAGTAAAATAATTTTGCTGCCAGTAATTCGTACCACGCCTCCGTGTACATGGAATATTCCCATAACACCTCCTCGTCTCCTGCTATCAACTGCAAAGCAAAATTCAGAGAGATTATCTTTCGTATTTAGAAAAAAAAAAAGATTTAGGTATAAAAGATTATTTTATATTTAAAAAAAATGAAAAAATCTTCACTGACCTTCATAAGCATCTCCAGATTGCTGTCTATAACGAAGCAGTTGGTCTCCAGATTCGAGCACAGATCCATCTGCCAGTGCTTCCACCGCATAATAAATTCGTTCACGGAATATCCGCCGTACACATTGTACACCGGCATCGTTCTGATAATATTGTCCGCGGTAACAAACGCCGAATGGTCCGTTTTGCTGTGCAACGCCAGCAGGCGGCAAACCAGATTCAATTTGCCGTGGAACGCGCAGCCCATCACGGCCTCCCAATAATTCAGATTCTCCAGATCGGCGCAGATAGTTTTCTGCGACAAAATCTTCGCCGCCGCCAGCTCCCTCGAGGGAAAATGAAAGCTGATCCACTCCAGCAACTGTGGCAGCACAACATCGCCTGTGAACACAATGCAAATATTAAAAAAATAAAAAGAAAAAGATTTTCTATGTTCAACACACAAAGAGGCTCTCCCAAAGGAAAATTTTTATATTTTTGTATTTTTATACGATTTCGCAGATTACATTCTGTGTATCGCCTGTGAACACGACGCAAATATATTTAAAAGAAAAAAGATTCTGTACGTTTAATACATGATAAAGCTCTTCCAAAGAAAAATTGTTACATTTTGTATTTTTATATGATTTTGCAGATTATATTCTGAGTATCTTAACTCAATTTACCTGGCACAACGTCAACGTAGAGAATTTCCGTCAAGTGCCAGACGCATTCCACTTGGTAAAATATAGTGAGAAAATTCTCCAGCATCGTCTTCTCTTCCGACAGCGGCTCCTTTGGCAGTATCTCTTGCAAGTTTTCAACACAGGCTCGCAATATAGATCGATATTGTTTGCTGTTCTTAAGAAGCTCCGGCCTGATGTCGCCAGAGGAGGAGGACTTGAGCTTCTGAACCGACAGGAAGATACCATTGCTCTCGTTAACCAGTTTACGCAAAAGTGGCGAGAACAATATGACTTCCGGTCGGAGGAAATGCACTTTGGCATCGCAAGGTGCAAACTGACTCTTGGTATCTGAAATCAATCCTTAATTTGGCAAAATAGCACTGTACGCTAATCGTTTTTGGCTTCTACGTGCGCAAAAAGATATAAGATTTATAATATAGAATTTTTGTATATGTGTATATTTTTTTTGCAACCTTGCGAATATTGGTTCACGTGTTTATACGCATGTATCCCGAATCTGTTGCTGCTGATCCAGGTGGTCGCGATGCCTGCCCTCCTGCAAACATCATCTGCTATAACCTGCAAAACACAAAAGTCGAAAAGATTGTTGATCAGCAAGCGACAAAAATTATTTTAAAAATGTTCCCTAATTTTTTCCGACACCTATTACCGTCAGAACTAAAAAGAATTTCGATATAAAGAAATACATAGTTTTACAGACAAACTCATCCAGATTAAATCATAAGTATATTTAAGGTTATAAAATAAACTCACAAAAATGATTCCTAAAATAACGATTAGAGATAATCTAAATAAATTTACGCAGCAGTTCACGGCGTAATATCGTCTAATTTTTCATTAAAAAATTCTAATGAACATGAAAACAACACTCGTGTATCCGGACGAATTTACGAATTGCAAATAACACATTGCATACATGTACTTCACTAACAATTATCTGGGCGTTGTCGACTTCGTCCATGGTCACTCGGTGTATTCCTTCCTAAATTTGTAAATCACACTATTATTGAAATTAATATTTTTGTAAATAAATACTTTGGCGGGGTAACCGAACCGAACGCCGCAAAATCATCGATACGACAATCGACAGAGAGGGGGAAAGTGGATGTCTGCTATACGAACCATGGTGGAAGTGTAATGTTTCCACCTTCTATCATGGTTTCCACCATGCCAATTGCCATGAACCGACCGGACCGACTTGTTCATTCCTGTTTGATTGTTACTGGAGGTAAGAGGCAATTCGAGACTATTCGAAACGATCGACGTGTACGGTGAGATTAACAGCTGAAAATCGAAGTTTTCTGAGTGATAATCGAAGGTAAATCATTTATTAGCGATTGAAAAGTACATTTATTCCACGACATAATTAAAAATGATGCAATTCTTTTAGTTTTTTTCTGAAA